AATTTTATAGCCGTTACTCAATATGCAATAAAAAGTTCACTAAATTCTTACACCTTCCAGTAGATTGCGTTTATAGTTTTCGACTTTGAGTAAATTGCCAGACGCAAATTAACAAACACAACAGCAGACACTTATGAAACTATTACACAGAAACTATTTCCACTTGAGATACAACACAAACTTAAAATAAAAAAGATGCGTCGCAAAACAATTGGATGTTAAAAAACTAGGTGATTCAAAATTTTCGCATGTCTCGATAAAAAATCAAGGTGCACAGCTAAACGTGGAGGTACGTGTTTGATATTGAATGAATTTTCTATAATGATGCGGCACGATATGATTTCAGAAATTGGAATTCGCCCAAAACTTTAGTTGTTTCTCTACTAAATTAAGTGAAAAGAATTTTAAAAAATTTCCCAGGGACTAAAGAAATCTCTTAAAAAGTGAAGAGTTACGCTTCTAGAGGAACAATTATAAAAACCGGTTCATTCAATTGAATTTTTCATTCAATTCAAAAAGTTTCTAAAACCGGTCACAAATTCTAAAAAAAAACGGTCAAAAGACTTTCCAAAATTCACAACTTTTTTTATCTGCGAAAGCAAGTTAAGGCCGTTTAAGCAGAGATAATTCCCAAAACCGATTTTCTCGATTGGACAAACCTGAGAAAGGTTCCGGTAGTTTTCCCGTAAAGTCAACCAGTTTCCAATAAATTGTCAAAGTTTCTGAGCTTTGACCTGTTTGATGGCCAAAACTTTTTTCTTAAACAAACAGGGCATAGTCAATTAAAGACGTAGTCTTTCAACAACCTGCTGTTTCAAATAAACCAATGACATCAGATTTGGCACGAGAAAGGTCCAAAAAAATGTCAACAAAATGACTCTCGTAGATAACGAACTTTTGATTTGTTGACCGTGTTTTGGAGCTTTTGCGCCAAATATCCTGCCAAATCTGATATTTCCGAGAATTATAGCTTTGCGTAAAAAAATAGGGCGTAGCCGCTAATGGAGAAAAGATTCATGCAACCTTTAGTTTCGATCGAACCCAAAATCTAAGATTTGAAAGGGTAGCTCAAGAGAAGCCAAAAAGTTGTAAAAAACGGTCAAAAAAATCGAAATTTCGAGTTTCTGAGGATCATGAATTATTGTGTAAAAAAATTTTGCGCGTAGCTGCTTAAAAAGGATAATTTCCCACAACCCTGGCTTGTAGTTGAAATGAAAATCTCAAATTAGGAACGGTAGTTTTTGAGGTCGAAAACTTTCAAAAACGTTCCAAAAATAAAAAATTTGACTCTTCCGAGAGCCATATTTTTAGGTACAAATTATGGGCGTAGCATTTCATGCAGGAGAGCTTTTCAAAACCGTTTTTTCCCTTGAAACTTATAAACTCTGGGGTGTGTTTCCAAGAGGGGAGTGAGAGGGGCGTGTTTCGAAACCGAAAAAAAAACAATAAAAAATATGTTTTTTTATTGTTTTTTTTTGTTCAAAAATGTTTTATGTTCAAAAATTCCATCACAGACTTTTTCGAAGTCTGTAGACTTTTAGGCTTGACGAAATTTTTTCTCCAAAAAGCAGGTTAAGGCCGCTTAAGCGAAGAAGAATCCCAAACCGAGGTTTCTCGATTAGACACAACCTGAGTATTGGCCTGGTAGTTTTCGCGTTAAGTCAATAAGTTTCACAAAAACTGTCAGTTTCGAATCTTTGACTTCCTTGATGGCCATAACTTTTTTTAAACAAACTGGGCATAGTCAATTATAAAGATAAAAAACGGTCAACAAATGAAAAAACTGACATTTAGAACATCATAGCTTTTTGTGTAAAAAACAGAGCGAAACCGCTTATGCAGTTGAGATTCACGCAATCTTCAATTCGATTGAATCCAAAATCTCGGATTTGGGAAGGTACTTTGAAAAAAATAAAAAAAATCAAAAAAACTGTCACAAAAAAATCAGTTTTTTTCCAACATTTTCGGGGGCCAAAAATTTTGTCAAAAATGGGCAGAGTCTCGTATGCAAAAACGCTTCCCACAACCCGTTCTTTTGATTGAGACCAAAAGTTCAGATATGGGAGGATTTTCAGGTAAATTTCATAACATTTACAAAAAAAACGATCAAAAAATTGAAATTTGGAAATTTCCGAGGGCCATAACTTTTGCTGCCAGAAAATTTGGGTGTATGCGTGCAAATGAGTTTCTCATAACCCCTTCTACGAATTGATACCAAAATCTAACACATATCAGGGTAGTTTTCGAGAATATTCAAAAAGTTTTTTTTTAAATCGTCAAAATCAAAAATTTGATTTTTCCGACAGCGATAACTAAGTGTAAAATTGCGAGTGACCGCCAATGCAGAAGAGCTTTCTACTCTCTGTTATTTATATTGAACCCACAAAACCAGATTTGAGAGGTTAGTTTTCGATAAAAGTCAAAAAGATTCGTAAAATGTTCAAAACTCAAAAATTTGACTCTTTCGAGGACCATAGCTACATGTTCATAAAAACTGGACGTAACCGCTTATTCTAGAGATTTTTTCAAAAGCACGCTAATCATTGAAACCGAAAACTCAGATTTGAGCGGGGTAGTTTTTGAGAAAAACGAAAAACAATAATAAAAATGGTTCATATATTCGCCCACAGACTTTTTTTGAAGGCTCAAGGATTAGGTAAGAAGAGACTCTAGGTGAGTAGGCATACAAGGGAGTAGGCTACCTTTCAATCGATAGCCCTTTTTTGAAAATCAGTAGTAATTTCTGTTGCAATAAAAAAGAAACATTTCCAAAACGAAAACGAAATTTCAACGAAACGATTGGTACACATACAACAAGCTTGAAAAGCGCGGAGAGGAGTGGCAACATTGTTTTTCCTTCAAACGGCCCGAAACTTGGTCATTAAGCCGATAAAAAATAGGCCGAAATGATGTGGGCCGGGGAAGTTTTTTAGCGAAGCAAAATAAAACAAAGGGAATACTAAGTTTCGGTAAGTGAAATTACAAATTGCAGGAGCAAATCAAACTCTAAAAGGCAACACTTAAGAAAACTACGCTCATCAAAAAAAATCGATTCCAACATGTGACAACTAAATAACTAAGCCGACAGCAGACAAGTAGACAAATAATTGGCAGAGTTTTATTTGACACAGAATATGTACCGTTTGAAAAAAAAACAGGCCCTGGTCAGATTCGAACCCAGGTCTTTGCAGTGTAAGGCATATTCCTTAGCTCCAGGCTAAGTTTCCCGGGAACGCTAAGAAATTTGAATAGATGATGAAATAAGGTAGAGATGAGAAAATAAATTCGAAGGGAAATTCAAAACATAGCCAACAGACAGTTGGAAACGATTCAATTGAAGCAAAGTAAAAAAAAACGTCATCATTAAGGTGCTTTAACCCTCTTGAACTTCAAGATGAACTTATGATTAACACTTTCATGAGAACATTAACTCTGGATCATTTGATAAACATAAACATGAGAAAACTGGATCAATAGGCAAAGTTTTTATACCGCTGGGAAATCTAAAATTTTAATTCAACTTTCGAAAACGAAGATTTTCAACTTTCACGTTTTCGCGTCATTTCCACGTTCGTTTTGAAGATTGCAATTTAATTTACTTTCAGCCGATGAATTTAAATTGAACTCAAACAATGCATATAAACCTAAAGGCACTCGTATGTATGAATGCACATCTGTAGTTATTAGAACTATTAAAGACTTTCTTGAGAAGTAATCACCAAGACCTCACTACCTTCACCTACCCTTAAGTTAACAACCAAAAAAATGAGAATGAAAAAATTACACACTGTCTGAGCTAAACGTCGCACCACTAGCGATACATCATAAACATTGCATGTCACGCTAGCCGAAAAAATGCTAGTCAAAAAATGGATAGAAAAATGCCGAAAATGATTCCTAACGAAAATTTTTTGTTTGTCTCGAAAATAGGTCAAGAAAAACACTTGCCAGCAATGAAACAATAATGAGGTCGCTGATAAGACGGAAAATCTTGAAAAGACACCCGTTGACCTAAACAAAAAAGCTCAAAAAGCTATAAAAAACTTAAAAACTCGCATACCCCGAAATAATTTCCAAACTAGCCTTTTCAAGAATTGCATTTCCCCAGCATACACATGAAAAGTTTTTATCGCCCTTCAAACGACATCATTTAAGGAGACTAAATTGATATAACATGATCCGAACAATTTAAAACCTACTAAACAGGTAATAGAAAAAAAACAAAGGAAAAAATAAAAGGTTAAACAGAGACGAACGCCAATTATGAGTCTAAATAAATGCTAGGTGACGCAAGCCAATTATGACGTATTGGCGGTACCAGTCAATTTGAAACAAAAGAAATTTATCACTAACATGCCTCAATTTATAGAGCGGGCACAATTTAACTAGCATACGAAAACTAGCATACGAAAAAACATCCGACCCTGACATGGTTCGAACCCTCTTATTTTGTTGTGGGTCTCCTTCCCTACCTCTACGCTACAGATCCATGATGCCTTTAAGCTAAAGTGCTATTTGTAATATAATAGTGTGTTAATATCCTTAGCATTGGCTGTACTTAATAGCTGGTATTGATAAAAACGAACTTTCAAAATGCACAATAATATTTGCAACTTACGATGGAAAAAAAGAGAGTTCAAACTATCACAAAAGCTTCGCTTGTGTAAATAACTATAAAAAATCATAGAACGTTTTAAAAATATAAATGCTCAGAATATATCAGCGAATTTGATATTTCATTTGTTTCGATAGCGTTTCGTAAGATGGTACATATATTTTTTTAACCGGCGGGTAACTGGCAACCGGCGGGTATGATTGTCTTGGACCGGCGGTTAAATATTTTAGTTTCTTTTTGCAGCCTGACGAATGCTTGTGAACAGTGAAAACTGCCAGGCGGGGATTTAGCTATGCTATGTCTTATCTAGTCCTTAGTTCAAAATATCCGACCGAAGTTATTAAGGTGAATATGATATGTTTGTCGGGTTCTAGATATCGAGATTCTTAACTGTGGAGATTCGTAACTGAGTCAAAGCATCTTCATCTGTAAATTCATAAAATCAGTTGTGAAAGACGAGCTCACGGAGGTTGAATAGTTTCGCTGCGTCAAATTAAACATGAGTGAAGACTAGTCAAAACGATTTTTTCTTCGTATGACGCTACGCGACTCGTTTTCCTGGAGTGAATATTTCAACTCAAACCTGATAAACATGACTTGTTTTCTGAATGGTTCACGTTGAAAGTCAAGCTTTAACGACTTCAAAACTGAAGTCAGTTCTATTTTTTGGCTAAAATATGACCTTTCTGAATTCTTGGTTAGCTTGAAAATTGAATTATTTGCACTTGAAAAAAGCAAAAACATGAGACTTGGCCCCTCAGTGCAAAAATCTTCGATGCATGTACATTCAAACGAGGCATTACAAACTTGGATGTGTTATTGACAGGTTACACGAGTGTGTTGACCAGTGATTCCTCGGCTGATAATCGAATTTACTCTTGGATGCCATGTGGAACTATTTCTAGTCTACCCAGTGCAGCATGTGCTGGATCCAAAGGATGCCAACAGGATGGAATCCAATACAACCCCATGGGCGACCCAACTGGAGCAGTGAGAAAACATCATTTTAATTCTTCAATTACCTTTTTTTGCAGAATTCTTCGATTATGCGGAACTCGATAAAATAGTGTAACTGAAAAACCAGTAGCCAAAAATGGAAGTTCCATTTAAAATTATTTCAGCTATTTCTCCTTGCCCCAACAATTAAAGTTTTGTGATAGCCATATCGAAGAAAAAAAAATTAATATGGACAAAATCTAAAGCAAATTGTAAAGAGTGATTCCAAGTCCAATTGACAATTGGATGCCGACTCTGATACCGTCAATTTGACTCCGCAATTTCTGAGTTTAACAAGTAAATGCAGACGAACCAGCTGCAAACTCAGTTTCAAATCAGGCTTCTTGCATCTTGAATTATAACCGCAGACTGCTCATTTGAAAGCCACATAAACGCAACAAAAATAAATATCAGGGGCACTTTTCTAAGACCTTTTCCAACTCATCTGGACAGTTAGAAAAAGAGTAATTAACGCCAGGAAACAGACAAAAACTTTTTTTGAGAAAAACTTTTGAGTTGTAAATAAAAATATATGCCATTAAAGCTCTTTGTATTTCGCAAACAATTTATTATTGGTGCTTTTTTTGTTAAAATTAACCAAATTTGCGAAAACTGGATAAACAAGCAATTTTTAATTTCGCTGGGAAATCCTGATAATAAAATACCATTGTCTAAATAAGAAGTCGATCACATTTTTCGTGACGTTACAATTGTTGCTGTTCGATAGTGGAGTTTGCCTTCCTTTTAACAAAGGAAATGAAGCGAACATCAAAAGAAAGCAAAAGTCAAACTGCGAAAAATCAAGTTTGAACGTGAACAAATCACCAAGGACTATATAAGAGTACTCAAAACGTACTAAGAAACGAAAATTCTGTGAAACACACTCTTGTACGCTGTTATTTTGTTTAAAACAATTCAGAGAAAACACCAAAAACAAACAATTAAACGGATGTACTTAACAATCTCCCCTCTTTCAAGAAAGGGGATGAGATTGTTCGATAGATTGAGTTAGTTGAGTATACCACCAATTAGAATGCAGCAAAAACAGAATTTTCAATAGAAGTCTCTAGAACTAATTTACTGTTTTATTTAGAGGGGTGGAAACTCTTTTGCAGATACCACAGGGGAAATTGATAAGTACAATTAATAAAAATCCACTGGAAACTAGATTCAATTGCCAAATCTTGACAGATCTTTTGCTACATCTGAGTGAAAATTCTGGATTCGCTTTTACTATCTTTCATTATTCTGACAAAACTCTTCTCTTTTACTACAGCTGAGTGACAATTCAGGATTCAATTGAAAAATTTTGACACATCTTTTGCTACCTTGCTTCAATAGTTTCTATCTATCAATCGTATTAAAATCTCGGTTTCTATGATATTTGAAGGCTTTATCTTACTTGTTCGTTTTCATCTTTTCTAGAAGCAATTAAAGTTTCTGACGACCTTGGTTCACTCCTAATCGTTAAATAAAGCTTATACTGATTTGTAGTTTCTTTTTTCTTTATTCAATTCACTTAACCTCATTTTTACTCCGACTTATTTACAAATGCCTGCTAGACGCTCAACAATCAAATCCACGAATTTAAGCAAAACCAGTTGCACGAAATTCGTGAAATTTGTCAAACTGGTTCCATGGGCCATATGTTTCCCTCTCCAACGAAGATGCAGCACGGATGCGAAAACATAAAAACTGCCTCTGGGTTTGTAACAGCTGTTTAGACGAACTTATTTTCTAGCGATGCAAGGTTGGTTACACTAATTAAATCTAAACATGAGGAGCAACCAGTTGACATAAATAGACATTGGACACATAGTTAATCATTTAGTTGAACAAAACAGTTGAAAAAGCGTTCTCTCACACTCTACCCTTATACTCTGAAAGCATTCAATACTGTTCAAAGAGCATAATTTCTTCCCTGAAAACAACTTCAATATATCCGTTATTCCAGAAAGATGGGACAGTTATAACATGAGAATAAGCAACGATTCAAATGCTCTTGAAAAAACTTTAAGCAATATCGTCCTCGCTGTTGACGGCAATAAAAATTCAGGACGGCGGTTCGGTCAATCAGTTAATCTTAAAACTAGTCATCGAAATAGAAGACCCATCCTTGTTAGAGTCTCCACATTCCACTTTATAAACAAATGTTCTGTACGAGGTCACAAATTGAAAAGTTTCGAATCACCTGTCTTTATTAAAAATTTCTATCCTCCTCTAATCGCGAAAGTGAAAAAAGAAATTCTTGCTAAATGATATCAAGTTTAGAATCAAGAATTCAAAACTAAAGCTGATTTACGCGCCAAGAAACTGCTGCTATTTTACAAACGCTAACTAGGGCCGATAAATCTTGATTGACTATTAATTGTTAACAGCCCAACTGTCAGTCTATACAAAGCCTGAACAAAATTTATTACGATACCTTTACACCAACAGTTAACCGTTATCTTTCCTAATGAAAGCGTGGCTATCCGAAGTTTTTCTAGGTTCTTCTTTCTGCAGTGTCACAAGATCCAATCGAATATACGTTTTACATGGCGGAATCTTGATTGCTTCTTCAGATATCAGTGCATCCATCTCGGACATCTTTTGACCTCTTCATCAATAGGTTTCATCATCTTAGTTTATAACCCACCATTCTCGTCGACATATCACATTGACTATCAAACAATTAGCGAATGCTTGCAGACTTATGTCAACTTTACCATGTTAAGTTTCTGGTCATTCAAGTTTTTCAGTCTTCTTCTGAGGTGAATTTTAATTACCAGGACTTGACTCGGACTGACTTACCTCTGCAGCGATTCATTTGAAAAAGATTTGATTCTTTATTTGCGGACCATAATTTTCATAAATTAGACCATCAGCCTACTCATCGAAACATTTTGGATTTGATAATAAGTCATGTTGATAGTTTGTCTAGCTCTGTAGCTACAGTCTCAATATCGGACCACTTCACAGTCAACTAACTTCCAATTAAAGTTAAACACTGAGTATCCCATTCACTGTTCCTCTATTTCCCGGTCATCTTGGGACGATGAGCTCTTCAACTTAAACTTAAAAAAAAACATGAAAAAAGCCTGTGGGTTTGTAACAGCTGTTTAGTCGAACTTATTCTCTAGCGACGCAAGGTTGGTTCCACTAATGAAATCTAAACATGAGGAGCAACCAGTTGACATAAATAGACATTGGACACATAGTTAATCGTTCAATTGATCAAAACAGTTGAGAAAGCGTTCTCTCACGCTCTGCCCTTATACTCTGAAAGCATTCAATACTGTTCAAAGAGCATAATTTCTTCGATTAAAACAACTTCAATATAACCGTTATTCCAGAAAGATGGGACAGTTATAACATGAGAATAAGCAACGATTCAAATGCTCTTGACACAACTTTAAGCAAAATCGTCCTCGCCGTTGACGGCAATATAAATTCAGAACGGCGGTTCGGTCAATCATTTAATCTTAAAACTAGTCATCGAAATAGAAGACGCATCCTTGTTAGAGTCTCCACATTCCACTTTATAAACAAATGTTTTGTACGAGGTCACAAATTGAAAAGTTTCGAATCACCTTGACTCAATAAAGTTAATTCTTAACAGCCCAACTGTCAGTCTATACAAAGCCTGAACAAACTTCAAAATCTATCACGATACCTTTACACCAACAGTTAACCGTTATCTTTCCTAATGAAAACGTGGCTATCCGAAGTTTTTCTAGGTTTTTCTTTCTGCAGTGTCACAAGATCCAATCAAATATACGTTGTACATGGCGGAATCTTGATTGCTTCTTCAGATATCAGTGTATCCATCTCGGACATCTTTTGACCTCTTCATCAATAGGTTTCATCATCTTAGTTTATAACCCACCATTCTCGTCGACATATCACATTGACTATCGAACAATTAGCGAACGCTTGCAGACTTATGTCAACTTTACCATGTTAAGCTTCTGGTCATTCAAGTTCTTCAGTCTTCTTCTGAGGTGAATTTTAATTACCAGGACTTGACTCGGACTGACTTACCTCTGCAGCGATTCATTTGAAAAAGATTTGATTCTTTATTTGCGGACCATAATTTTCATAAATTAGACCATCAACCTACTCATCGAAACATTTTGGATTTGATAATATGTCATGTTGATAGTTTGTCTAGCTCTGTAGCTACAGTCTCAATATCGGACCACTTCACAGTCAACTAACTTCCAATTAAAGTTAAACAATGAGTATCCCATTCACTGTTCCTCTATTTCCCGGTCATCTTGGGACGATGAGCTCTTCAACTAGAACTTAAAAAAACATGAAAAAAAGCCTCTGGGTTTGTAACAGCTGTTTAGGCGAACTTATTCTCTAGCGATGCAAGGTTGGTTACACTAATGAAATCTAAACATGAGGAGCAACCAGTTGACATAAATAGACATTGGACACATAGTTAATCGTTCAATTGATCAAAACAGTTGAGAAAGCGTTCTCTGACGCTCTGCCCTTATACTCTGAAAGCATTCAATACTGTTCAAAGAGCATAATTTCTTCGATGAAAACAACTTCAATATAACCGTTATTCCAGAAAGATGGGACAGTTATAACATGAGAATAAGCAACGATTCAAATGCTCTTGACAAAACTTTAAGCAATATCGTCCTCGCTGTTGACGGCAATATAAATCCAGAACGACGGTTCGGTCAATCATTTAATCTTAAAACTAGTCATCGAAATAGAAGACCCATCCTTGTTAGAGTCTCCACATTCCACTTTATAAACAAATGTTCTGTACGAGGTCACAAATTGAAAAGTTTCGAATCACCTGTCTTTATTAAAAATTTATATCCTCCTCTGATCGCGAAAGAGAAAAAGGAAATTCTTGCTAAATGATATCATGTTTAGAATGAAGAATTCAAAACTAAAGCTAATTTACGCGCCAAGAATCTGCAGCTATTTTACAAACGCTAACTAGGGCCGATAAACCTTGATTGACTCATAAAGTTAATTGTTAACAG